CCTGCCTTGAGGTCTGATCGCTTGTGGAAATTTTGCTCGCGTATGGAAGCAAAAAATCGACCCATCTACTGCTCGTATTTGAAAAAACTCGCACGTGGACACGCTCGCAAGTAGAGGTTCGACTGTATACATTTCCCTACACAGAAAACAATGAGACATGCACAATAAACAACACTGAAATGACAGTTACTTTTATTGTGGACTTATTGATGAGTGATGAGATGGGAGGAGGGGAGAGGATGTAGGTGTACTATTGTTTGGAAGGGGAATCCCCTTCCATAAAGACTTCAGGAAACAAGTCCTTTTCTGGGGTTACCTACCTTCTTTGTTTTTTAATGCCACTAGGACCAACTTGAGAGTCACTGGACCCCTGTCGCACAAAATATCTGTCCAGAGAGCACTGTTTCTGGCATCCCTTTAAGATTTCCCTAAAATGGAACACAAGAGTGTCATTGTACATGCTGCCAATATGGCTTGTAACAGCTGTGTCAGGACAATTTTAATCCATAAAGATTTGCACTTCAATCCACTTTGCACAAATGTCCTTAATCTTTGATGAAGTCAACTTCCTCATTCTCTCTTTCTCCTCCTCCTCTGTAGCACATTCCTGTGCTATGATCTGTTGCTGTTGCACCTGAAGCTCTTGCAGCTCTGTAGTGGTTAGCTCTTTATCATCGTCCTCCACCAACTCTTCCACATCCTTGCCACTAACCTCCAACTGCATGGACTTCCCCAATGCCACAGTAGATTCCACAACTGGCATAGGCTCCTCAGGGTTAGCCCCAAACCCTTTAAAATTCCTTTCTTGTACTCATTCTGGCCACAATTTTCTCCAAGCAGAGTTCAAAGTCCTGCAAGTCACTCCCTCCCAAGCCTTACCTATAAGGTTTATGCAACTGAGGATACTGAAGTGATCTTTCCATAACTCTTAAGGTCGATTCACTGTCTGATATCACTTCAAAGCACTTTTGAAACCCTGCTTTGGTGTGCAGTTTTTTGAAGTTTGAAATGACCTGCTGGTCCATGGGCTGGAGGAGAGGAGTGGTATTAAGAGGAAAAAACTTCACTTTGATGAAGCTCAACTCCCCCACAGTTTGCTTTTGCAAGTCATGAGGATGAGCAGGAGCGTTGTCCATTACCAGGAGGCACCTGAGTGACAATTTATTTTCCACGAGGTGTTTTTGCACAGTGGGGCCAAACACGTCATAAAACCAGTCAAGGAAAATGTTCCTAGTGACCCGTGCCTTACTGTTTGCTCTCCACATCACACACAGTTTAGTCTTGACTACATTGATTTTCTTGAACACTCTGGGAGTTTCAGAGTGATACAGTAGTAACAGCTTCACTTTGCAATCTCCACTATCATTACTGCAAAACTTGAGAGTTAGCCTGTCTTTCATGGGCTTGTGTCCTGGGAGTGCCTTTTCCTCCTGAGTAATGTAGGTCCTGTTTGGCATTTTCTTCCAAAACAGGCCTGTTTCATCACAATTGAACACTTGTTGGGGTTTTAATTGTTCAGCCTCTGTGTACCCCTTAAATTCCTGCACATGTGTTTCAGCCACTTTTTTGTCAGAACTGGCAGCCTCACCATGCCTTATCACACTGTGTATGCCACTACAGTTCTTAAATCTTTCAAACCTTAAATTCACTAACATCAGCACTAGTTTCAGGCATTTTCTTAATTAAATTATCATGCAACTGCCTTGCCTTTTTCACATATTATTGACTGAGAAACTCTATCGCGTGATAATTGTTTCTCGTTGATCCACACCAGCAACAGTCTCTCCACATCTTTGAGTATTTGCGATCTCTGTTGTGTTAGCATACTTGTACCTTTCGCAACAACAGCTTCCTTGATTGCCTTTTTGTTGGCCAAGATAGTAGTGATGGTTGAATGGGGTTTGTTGTATAACCTGGCCAACTCGGAGACACTCCACTTTCATACTTTGTGATCATCTCTTTCTTTAATTTGATAGTATTTCTCACCCTGTTTACCACAGGGTTGGCACTAGAAGCTTTCTTTGGGCCCATGGTGGCTTATTTAGTAGTTACAAGCACTAAAAACACTGGAATAATACAAAATGTATCGGATGTACACGTGGAATCATCCGGATTGGCTTGTAAACAATGGCACACTAGCTGAAGGCAGGGCAGCTGAGGTGCTCAGGCCGGACGGACAAGCGGATGCGTTCAGGACGAATGCCCTTAACCGAATTCTTGGGCATTAGCCGAGCCAGTATTTTGACGCAAAAACGCGCTGCTGTCCAATTTTGATGTTAGCAGATGCTGCTGTTACCCAAGGGTCCACTGTAATTGCTAAATAAGCCACCATGAGCCAAAGAAAGCTTCTAGTGCCAGCTAGCCCTTTGGCAAAGGGCTTAGAGAGAGGGGAGAATGTGCCTTTTTCAGTGATTCTGCAATATGTATGATACAGTGGAACCTCAAAAATCGAACGTATCACATATCGAACGTATCAAAAATAGGACCATTTTTTCGGACAAACTGTGTCCCTATTATCGAACGTGCCCCTATTTTTGGACCGCCGGGTACGGGACCTGTCTGCCGCCTGCGCTGTGAGCAGTCTAGCTTTGTTTATGCTTGAGTGAACACTAACCTGCGCTCTCATTCACGCATTTTACGATTATTTCGTTGTGTTTAGTGCTTGTGGGACTCTGAAATAAGCTGCCATGGGCCCAAAGAAACTTGCTAGTGGTACCCCTGTGGTAAAGAAAGTGAGAAACACCATAGATGTGAAGAAGGAAATAATACAGAAGCATGAGAGTGGTGTGAGACTTGTTGAGCTTGCCAGGATGTATGGGAAAAACAAATCGACCATCGGTTCTATCCTGTCAAAGAAAGAGCAAATCAAGGAAGCTGATGTTGCGAAAGGTGTTAATATAGGGAGTGGATGAGGTGCCTTCTTCAAAGATTAAGGAGATTTGTGCCAAGTGGAATGATGTCCAAATGTTTGTGCAGTAGTACCACCCTGAGCAAGCTGAAACAAGCCATCTTTGCAACAAGTTCAGTGACAGAACCATGTCCCATTTTAGGGAAATGTTAAAAAGGTGCCAGAAACAGAGGACTGTGGACAGTTATTTTGTGAGACAGGGGTCCAGTGACTCTCAAGCTGTCCTAGTGGCATAAAAAGACAGAGAAGGGAAGTAACCCCAGAGAGGGCTTTACTTCAGCTGAAGTCCTCATGGAGGGGGATTCTCCTTCCAAACACTAACCCCAACTCCCTCTCTCCTCCTCCCTATCTTCCAGATGCCATCACCAATCTTCAATAAAGGTAAGTAAAAATGTTATTTTATATGTATTACTATACAAAATTAAAAACTATAGTACTTGTTGTATGTAAAACTGTAATTAATCTCTATAAAATGTATTTTCTGTGTGAAATATTTTTGGGTTTCTGGAATGGATTAGTTGTATTTCCATTATTTCTTATGGGAAATATTGCTTCGAATTTCAGACTTTTCGAATTTAGAACTAGCTCCTGGAACGGATTAAGTTCGATTTTTGAGGTTCCACTGTACTAAAGCAGCAGGATACTAAAGCAGCCAGCGATAAAGTGTAGCATTAACTGTAGCAAGTTAAGCGATTAATCGATAGAAAAAGGACAGCGTGAAACTGACTCCTCCATTGTTGTTGGAGGTATATAGGGCTAATGACTTACACCGTCGCCTCTGCTGCCTCTTGCTGCTGCCTTCCCCACCACTGTGTAAGGCTTATCTTTCAGTGGCCCTTATACACCCAACAACAAACAACACACCACCACTTGTGACATTCTTAATGCCATATTTTATTCATTCTAGAGTATATATCATGTTTCTATGTTATTAATACAGGTACCATCTGACTTACGACCGAGTTCGGTTCCAAGAAACCAGTCGTAAGTTGAAATGGACGTAAGTCGAACCTTACTACTGAATATCAACATCACATTTTTGTAATGACTTTATTGTTTTATTTTGGTATTTCATTTTTTACTTTTTATGCTGTTAGTGCTGTATTTTATACTGTAAGGTTTAGAATAAACACTGTGTACATCACAAACTGTTGTTTATTTCCCAGAAATTTGGCATAGAAAACTAGGTCGTAAGTTGAATGGTCGTATGTCGAGCAGGTCATAAGTTGGATGGTAGGTGTATTGTTTATTTTGTCATATTAGATGAACTGTGCTAGATAAATAAGCTGTAGAGTTGATATTAGTGTCATACTGAAGGACTGTCTTGTCCTGTCTCCCGACACAATTCCTAACATACGCCAGAAACAGACCTCTCTGGAACACTTTTGAGCGACAGGGGTCCAGTGACTCTCAAGCTTGTCCTTGTGGCATTAAAAAACAAAGGAGGGAAGTAACCCAGGATAAGGACTTGGTACCTGAAGTGTTTATGGAAGGGGATTCCCCTTCCAAACACTTGTAAACTCCTCCATCCTCTCCCCTCCTCCCTTCTTCCATACATCACCATGTCTTCAGTAAAGGTAAGTGTGATGTATCATTGTTTTCTGTGTAGGCAAATGTATATTTCATGTAGAAAACATTTTTTAATACTTTTGGGTGTCTGAAACGGATTAATTGGATTTCCATTATTTCTTACGGGGAAAATTAATTTGAAATAAGTCAGATTCGGGATAAGTCACTCTCTCTCTGGATTGGATTAATTTTGTAATCTGGGGGTCCACTGCAATTAATTGGTTTCAAAGTGCCAGTGTTGAAAGTCTGAAACATTGGAGTTTGGTATGTAAATCAGGGCCCTACTGTACTTCCATACACACTGTTTAAGGATGGTCTGTTTAATTGTATATCCTTATGTAGAAATTGTAATTGTTTCCCCATTTGTTGACAAAAATTATTCATCTCTTATGTGATGTTAGAAATTGTTCCTTCCTGAATTATCTAGTGAAAGAGCAGATAGTATACTGCAGTAATTTTTATATTCTTCTATGCATCTTCAATTTTTGTCTTCTGAATAATATTGTTTTCTTATGCTTTGCAGTACATTGAGGATAAACCAGGGAATTTTGTTGACATAGATACCAGAGAAGTAGTTGGCACTCATCGAGGCATTCACCAGTGGACTGTAGGCCAGAGGTGCAGAATTGGACCCTTTCCTCAACCATACTTTGTTGCTGAAAAACATCCAGAAGCCAGTAATATGTATGTGGTGAGTTAATGAAATGAGATACAGTAGACCATCATTTAGCATGAGTTTATTTGGCACAATTTCTGTATTGGACGATTGAAGAATTGCGGCACAATTTTATGTAACACGTCGTATAATTAATTTAACATGGTTCAGTTTGTGGGAAGAAAAAAAAATTCTCTTTTGCTCAAGTGCCGGCCTTGTTGTGGAGCAGCTGTGGAGCCCTCCCACCATCCCCTGCCACTCCCCAACACCACCCCACCATCCCATCGTTCATAATTCATACCTGTCCAGTCTTTTTCTGCTACAAGGCAGCTGTGGTTGTGAATTGTGTTATAATAATTTTAATTACTATATCTTGTATCTGCCAAGCAATCATGACACTCAGTAGTCATACTAGTGTTGCTGAAAGTGGCACAATTAAGTCTTAGAGTTAACAAAGAAACAAAGGTATGAGACAGGAGATAACCTGTAGCTGTAATGAAGTTTTACTTTGTACGCAGAAAAGAGATAAACATGAGTTTGTGTGACTGACTTACTGAATGACTGACTGACTGACTTACCGAGTGATTTGACTGACTTACCGAGTGACTTGACTGACTTGCCAAGTGACTTGACTGACTTACTGAATGACTTGACTGACATACTAAGTGACTTGACTGACTTACTGAGTGACTTGACTGACTTACTGAGTGACTTGACTGACTTACCGAGTGACTTGGCTGACTTACCAAGTGACTTGACTGACTTACTGAGTGACTTGACTGACTTACCGATTGACTTGACTGATTTACTGAGTGGCTTGACTAAGTGACTTGATGGACTTACTGAGTGACTTGACTGACTTACTGAATGACTTGAGTGACTTGGCTGACTTACTGAGTGACTTGATTGACTTAGTGAATGACTTGACTGACTGACTGAATGACTTGAGTGACTTGCTGAGTGACTTGGCTGACTTACTGAGTGACTTGATGGACTTACTAAGTGACTTGACTGACTTACTGAGTGACTTGACTGACTTATTGAATGACTTAACTGACTTATTGAATGACTTGACTGACTTACTGCATGACTTGACTGACTTACTGGGTGACTTGACTGACTTACTGAGTGACTTGACTGACTTACTGAGTGACTTGACTGACTGAATGACTTAACCCTTTACCCTTTCAGGGTCCCAAACATTCTCAGGGTCAAAAAATTTTCAAAAAAAAAAAAATATTTTTTTCATATGAAATGACAGAGTGTATTTTTGTGAGTATTATAGGCCAAAAAAATTTTTATGTGATCAGTACTTACTGAGATATGGAGGCATGAAGTTGACAGAAAATGGGCCACTTATGGTAACGTCGCCTACTCCCGGTCATGCTGTAATAGTTTATTTTTTCCTGCGTTTTTCTTTTATTTTTTAACATTTTATTTTTCAAGTAACTTTTATGGCATGTGAGACCAATATAAGCCATATTTTGGATATACAGTAAGGCTCCGCTTTACGGCATTTCGCCTTACGGCATTTTGCTAATACGGCGATGTCAAATTTTGACCAAAATTTGCTATACAACAAGCGGTCTTTAAAATACGGCGCCCCCAACCCGGTTTGTTTACATTTTCCGTGACCACATCTATTATGTCAGGAAACTTTCAAAAATTTCAAGTGTTTTAAAGTTACTGCATATTTTATATGTACTCTGATAATTATACTTATGTGTACCTGTACCTAAATATACTTACACACTGTGCTGGTGTGCAGGTACACATTAAAATCGCGAAGTCTCTCTCTACTCATGACGCCAATACTACGTAATAATAATCACTCTTGGGCACACTAAATGTCTTATTTTACATCAATATAGGCATTTTCATTAATCCATCTATGATATTTTCCTCAAAATTATATATGAAACCCATTACATAGCATATAAACATGATACATACACTCAGAATAAAAATTGATGTAAATATGAGATTTGTTTACAAAGCAGCTGTGTAGGTAGTGTCGGAAGAATTATGTTTTCTCTAGTCAAACACTGGGGGGTAACTGTAGAAAAATATTCTTTTCGTATGCCTTTACTCTATGTATAGCAATTCATGACCCTTGTGGGTTTAGTGCTTTTTATAATAAATAATAATAATAGTATTACTATTATTATTAATATTAATAATAATAATAATATTATTATTATTACTATTATTAATATTATTATCTTCATTTGCTCTAAAAATGGTGTGTTGCTGTTTGTTTATTCTGAACTAACTTGTACAACTTGTACACAATGTAAGAGTATTTGTATTGTGAGGTAATTATTATTATAATAAAAAATATTGAGGTAAATGTTTTACAAACTCTTATAAATGGACGTGAATGAACTACAAGTAGACACATATTAATACGCATTTATTTCGCCTGACCAGGTGATCGTCCACTACCTGAATTTTTATTGACCTAAGAAAAGCTTTTGACACAGTAGACCACGACATCCTACTCCACAAACTTGACCATTACCGTATAAGAGGCCATGCGCTTGCTTACTTCAAATCTTACCTTACTAATAGGTATCAGTATGTTACCATTAAAGACACAGCATCAACAACACGGCCACTTGATACTGGAGTTCCGCAGGGAAGTGTCCTTGGTCCCCTGCTCTTCCTCATATACATCAATGATCTTCCAAACGTATCCCAACCCCTGAAACTCATTCGACTTATGTCATCTCTCACCCTAATCTTGCCACCCTCAACACCATTGTTAACGAGGAGCTGATCAAAATATCGACTTGGATGACAGCCAATAAACTTACGCTTAACACTGACAAAACCTACTATATTATGTTTGGTAGCAGAGCAGGAGATGCACAAATTAACATTAAGATCGACAACACTCTAATTACCAGACATAATGAGGGCAAATTCCTAGGCCTATACCTTGACAACAACCTGAATTTCAGCACCCATATCCAACACATAACCAAAAAAGTATCCAAAACAGTTGGGATCCTCTCCAAGATACGATACTACGTGCCGCAAAATGCCCTTCTCACACTGTACCACTCACTTATTTATCCATACCTCACCTATGCTATTTGTGCTTGGGGATCAACTGCAGCAACACACCTAAAGCCAATAATAACCCAACAAAAAGCTGCAGTAAGAATAATCACTAAATCCCATCCCTGGCAACACACCCCCCCCACTCTTCATAGATCTAAACTTACTCCCTGTTCAGTACATCCACACTTACTACTGTGCAATCTACATCTACAGGACCTTAAACTCCAATATCAACCTTGACCTAAAACGCTTTCTTGATAGTTGTGACAGAACCCACAGGCATAACACCAGACACAAACATCTCTACGACATTCCCCATGTCCGACTAAACCTTTACAAAAATTCAGTGTATGTCAAAGGCCCTAAAATCTGGAACACCCTACCTGAGAACTCTAGAACTGCAGACACATTCATCACCTTCAAAACTACCATTAGAAAACATCTTATCTCCCTGATAAACCCCATCAACTAACTACATGAATACCACCTGGTGGTTCACACTTACACTCACTCACCCATTTGACCATAAACAGAAATATTAATCTCAATCTTAAAATAATGAATCCTATGATACTCCAATACTGAAACTATGTACTGTGCCAAAACAAAAGCATTCACATTGCTAAACTCACAAACTAGTATTTAGTCACTTAGCCATAATACCAACTTACCTCATAATTTGTAATATTTTGAAATAAAGAATTAAACTAAGTCTGCCTGAAATGCCTAGCCATGCTAGGCGTTCTAGTGGTACACTCTGTAATCATTATTTAACTACATGTAAACCACACAACAACCAAATTCTGTAAATTCAACATTGTAATCTTTATAGAGAATAAACTTTGAATTGAATTTGAATTTGAATTTGTCTCAACTCTGTATCTCGTTCTCTCTCTTGTTTACTCTTTCATTAACTAGTTATCTCTCATTGACGATGGCATCTAAGGTTAGCTGTGATAAAAAGAGAAGTCGTAAGCCTTTTGCTTTAAGTGCCAAGTTAGAGGATGATGAAAAGAGAAGTCGTAAGCCTTTTGCTTTAAGTGCCAAGTTAGAGGATGATGGTGTGCCATTCTGATTTTATTCAATAAACACCCTGCCACTCACCTCTCACACATTAATATTAATATTTTAAGGTAAGTAATAAGTGTACTCTGTGTGTATCATACCTTTTATTGTGTTTATAATGCCTATTTATATTGCTAACAATATAAGTTAGTGTAAACTTGTTGTCTGGCATTTATTGCATATTTTATGTGTGCTCTGATAATAATACTTGTGGAGCTGTGTGGTAGCTGGGTGGAGGGACAACATTACGTTTTCTCTGCTCAGCCATCAGAGAAAACGTTTATGAATCTGCGTTTGGCCCAGCCACTCCCTCACTCCGCTTTTGTTTACAATTTTCGGCATGAATTATTCATTACTTCTACCTTCGTTTATGATGGCATCTAAAGGTAGTTGTTAGAAATGATTAAATTCAATGAACAAGGCATGTCGATGTTAATAATATGGCTCTGGGCCACAGTGTAGGTAGCCAGTAGGTGTAGCCCAGGCGGGCTACACCTACCGGCTACCTACACTGACTTCCTACAAATAAATACTACTCACCTCTCTTCCTATATTAAGACTACACATATTTTAAAGTAAATAATGAGTGTACTGTATGTGTATTTTACCTCTCTGGGATGTTTTAAATATCATATATTAAGTATGAGACAGGGAGCCAGTGCTACCTACACCTGGGCTACCTGCACCTGACTTCCTACAAATAAGTACTACTCACCTCTTTCCCTACATTAAGATTACAAATACTTTAAGATAAGTAATGAATTTACTGTGAATGTATTTTACTTTGTGTGTTTTTAATGCCTAGTTCTATTACTAACTTAATATAATTTAGTGTAAAACTGTTGTCAGGCATTTATATGCATTTATAAATGGAAAAAAATGGCGTTCTGCCTTCCGGCGATGTCTGCTTTCCGGCGACAGCCTGGAACCTAACCCGCCATTTAAGTGGGGCCCTACTGTACTAAATCTTTAGTAAAACTTGTTTGTATTATAGTAATTCTGCTCCATAGTAAAAAGCTTAAGTAAATTACATCATTATTATAATTAAAAAACAGAGCCAATAGAGGGAAAATGGGTTACATCATCTAAGAGGGTGTTTGAAATAAAATCACTTAGGCAGTTATTCATCAGATGTCACTAATATCTAAAATTTAGTGCATATTATGCTATATTTACAATATAATTTTTTCTCAGGCTGCTGGCACAAATCATCCTGCACTATTTACTTCTACAGTGTTTACTGAGCCAGTTTACTGGATACACAGTCCACCACAACATCTCTCTACTAAGGGTCAACTGGAGTGTCATTTTCGTTTCCAAAATACAGCACCACTGGTACAGTGTGTCTTAACCACACAAACTCATAATCCACGGTATCATTCTCCAGAGCAAAATAATATGGTAGTGAGCTTAGCAAAACCTCTACGTGCAGTCACTCCTGGACAGGTATGGTAAAATGTTTGAAGTTTTCAGATAAATTAATTAAAAATGCTTACATTATCTGACTAACATGGATCATTGCTGTATTGGATGAAGGAGTCCCTATATGCTTCCATAGTCTCTAGTCACAGTTCATTTTTTGCCCACTGGATAGTGCTCCATCTTTTCTTTTGGCTGTGGTGGTTTCACTTCCACTTTGGTTTCTTGACTAGTACTCTTACATGTTCTTTTCCATTCACATGGTTCCTACTAATAATACAAGTTCCGTCCGACTTAGGACCGAGCTTGGTTCTGACCAACTGGTCGTAATTCAAAATGGACGTAAGATGAACCTTTGAAAATTGCCGACATACTGGGTAGGGCATAATGTCAAACCTTTCCTACATAAACTACCTACATAGTACTGTAATGTAATGTACAATCATTATTTCATTCTTTTTACCATAATTTACTTCTATTGATATAAAGTGGACCCCCCACCTCACGATATTAATCCATTCCTGAGAGCTCATTGTAAGCCGAAATTATCGTTAGCCGAATTAATTTTCCCTATAAGAAATAGTGGAAATCAAATTAATCTGTTCCTGACACCCCAAAGTATGAAAAAAATATTTTTTTTACCACATGAAGTATTAATTTTAATACTCACAAACTGAAGAAGACATGCACAATTACTACTCTACTAAGAATAGAATACATGACACTTCCCTTTATTGAAGATGTGGTGATGATTGATGTGATGGGAGGAGGGGAGAGTGTGGAAGTTATTGTTTAGAAGGGGAATCCCCTTCCATTAGGACTTGAGGTAGCAAGTCCTTTTCTGGGGTTACTTCCCTTCTTTCTTTAACCCTTTAAGGGTTTCGACCGTACTAGTATGGCTTACTCACCAGGGTCCTTGACGTACTAGTACTCATAAATTCTAGCGCCTACAAATCTAGTGAGAGAAAGCTGGTAGGCCTACATATGAAACAATGGGTCTATGTGGTCAGTGTGCGCAGTATAAAAAAAATCCTGCAGCACACAGTGCATAATGAGAAAAAAAAAAACTTCGTTTTTGGATTAAAACAGCGACTTTGCACTGTATTTTCGTATGGTATTTATTGTTGTATTCTAGTTTTCCTGGTCTCATTGTGTAGAATGGAAGACATATTACAGAAATTGAGATGATTTTGACTGGTTTTACAATGAAAAATACCTTGAAATTGAGCTCCAAGTAGCAGAAATGTTCAATTTTTACCAAAGTTCAAAAGTAAACAAATCATGCTAAGCGTCCAATACACATCAACTGGTGAGTCTAATATTCTTTCACAAGTGCGCCGATATTATTTATACCATTTCTACACTAATGCAGTAGTCTGCATAACAGTAAATCTTCTATTTTTTGTGAGAATAAAAATTCAAAATGGAAAGCAAAAGAATGTAAGAGGGGCATGGGGACGTGACTAATGAACAGAGGAAATGTTATTTTAGTGCCAGGGATATCTTTCTTGTTTATTCTGGACCCTGTTTGGAAATTGGCATCTGAAATTTGTGTGAAATTGGCAAAATTGCTAGAATCTGACCACTGTATTCGATAGTTGAAATCGGTAAATTGGTGGTTTCTTGTACTCATTCAGTAGAAAAAATGGATTTCTAGTGAAATAGTTATGACTTTTGTCAACTAGTACATTGGAATTGGCCGAAAATAGGGCTCAAAGTGGACAAAATCGCCGATGTGTAAACATTGTCGAGACTGCTAACTTCGCAAGAGCATGATTCTGTAAGTTTTCCATCAAATTTCATACTTTTGGTGTCATTATGATTGGGAAAAGATTCTCTAACTTTTCATAAGAAAAAAATTTTTTTTTTTTTTTGGGGGGAAATTTGGGGGACCCTGAGAACAAGCCTCTGAGAGGGCCTGTGGACCCTGAAAGGGTTAATGCCACTAGGACCAGCTTGAGAGTCATTGGACCCATGTCCATAGAGCTCTGTACCTCCTGTTCCTTTAACCCTTTCAGGGTTTCGGACATACTAGTATGGCTTACGCGCCAGGGTTTTTGACATACTAGTACGCATAAATTCTAGTGCCTTCAAATCTCGCGGGAAAAGGCTGGTAGGCCTAGATGTGAGAGAATGGGTGTGTGTGGTTGGTGTGTGCGGTAGAAAAAAAATCTGGGACCCAGTGGCGCATTGTGGGTACGCCATTTTAGTAGACCTTGTTCACCATGCCTCGCAGTAAGAAGTTCCTCACTCCTCGGCGAATTGGGACACTTTTGTTCCCCAGTGACAGTTCTAATACAGGTGGAAGTGCCAGTGAAGATGAGTTTCAAGGTTTTGGTGAGGTTGTGACCAAAACTAATGACCATAATATCAGTAATAGTGAGGAAAACCCAGACAACCCTCAGCCTTCCACCTCTGCTGCTGGGCCGTCTTGTTCACGTTCAGTTGTACCAGAATCAAAGAGGAAACTCCTATTTTCCCAAATCCTGGACTCAAATGTAAGCATTGGTGATGATAGTGATAGTGAATGTGAACTACAAGCTCTTGAAAACAGTTCCAGTAGTGATAGTGAATTGGAATATTCTCCAGTGTAGAGTCGGTATATACGATGATATATGCACTCTGGTAGTGTGCCATATGCTATTCCAAGGGGAAGGAGTACATCTCGGAGTACATCCCTTGGCTGTACAACAGGAACAGACAGTGAAAATGAAGATGATAGTGTTGCAATTGGGATGGAAAATGTGCATGGTGGTGGTGGTGGTGCTGGCCATAATGCACCAGCAGTGGGCCATGCTGCCACCCACACTGCTGCCTAAGCTGATCTACAACAAAAGCCACCATCCCCCACCCACCCACCACACCAGCCTCCACAACCACAACCACCACAAACACCTGTCAGTGTCCAGTACCCACCAGCAGACCGCACCTGGGATTGGCAGGTTGGTGTAAATTGCTGGCTAGACAGATACTGCAAGGAACTTGCAATCCCATTCATTGACAACTGGAACAACTTTTATGGCAAACATGATATGTATGCAAGGGATGGGGTACATCTCTCTGGGGCTGGGGTGGTAGCACTTGCAGACTCGATTGAGAAGGCCATTGGTGAAATGCCTATGATTTTAAACTGATGGAAGATAGAGGTATGGGTGTGTGTGGGAAACAAGCAGGTTGCAACACTTGGGTTGGAAACAGTAAATGTATAAAAGGCATTCAGCATGAAGTTATAAATAAAGACAATAGATCAGGTCAGCAAACAAAGGGGGACAGCAGAGGGCAGCAAGGGACTAGCTCCCTTAAGGTTTACTATACTAATAGCAGGAGTGTAAGAAATAAGATAGATGAGCTAAGATTAATTGCAAGTGCAGGAAACATAGATATTATTGCTATAACAGAGACCTGGCTCAATCTGAAAGATAGAGAGATGCCCTCTGAATGTCACATACAAAGCTATAAATTATTCCACACTGACAGGGTCAACAGGAAAGGTGGTGGAGTAGCGATGTATGTCAGAGACAATTTAAATTGTTGTGTTAGACAAGATATTAAATTAGAAGCGTCAGCCACTGAATCTGTTTGGTTACAGCTTCTCGAGGGCCGAGAAAAACTAATTTTGGGTGTGATTTACAGGGCCCCAAATCTTGATAGGGAGTGCAGTAAACTTCTATGGGACGAAATTCGTAAGGCATCTACATACGAAAATGTTGTGCTAATGGGAGATTTCAACTATAGACAGATTGACTGGAGCAATTTGACAGGAAATTTAGAGTCAGGTGACTTTCTTGATACGATCCAGGATTGTTTTTTTAAAACAGTTTGTGACAGAGCCAACTAGGGAAATAACCTCCTTGACTTGGTTCTTGCCAGTAGGGAAACACTAATTAATAATCTTGAGGTTAATGATGAGTTTGGGGGAAAGTGATCACAAATCACTCAGTTTTAATATATCATGGAATTCCCTAATAATGGCAATCAAGTCTCCGTCCCTGACTTTCGCTTGGCTGATTTCATAGGACTGAAAAATTACTTAGGTGGGCTGAACTGGAATGACCTGACTAAGGGTCAGGTAGGTGGTGATGGTTGCCGATATGATGCTTTCCAGGGCATAGTTCTAGCTGCTCAGTCAAATTATGTTCCAAATAGGGAAATCAGATCAAACAAAAATGATCCTAAATGGATGAACAATAGATTAAAATATCTGATTGGTCAAAAGAGAGGCATATATAGGCAAATCAAAAGAGGAGAGGGGCAATTGAGAAATCGATATATTCAGTTAAAGAGAGAAATAAAAAAGGGAATTGGAAAAGCAAAAAGAGATTATGAGGTTAAAGTTGCAAGAGAATCGAAGACTAACCCAAAAGGATTCTTTCAGGTATACAGAGTAAGATCAGGGACAAGATAGGCCCACTCAAAAGTTCCTCGGGTCAGCTCACTGACAGTGATAAGGAAATGTGTAGAATTTTTAACACATACTTCCTCTCAGTTTTTACACAGGAGGATACCAGCGATATTCCAGTAATGATAAATTATGTAGAACAGGACGATAATAAACTGTGCACTATTAGGGTCACAAGTGACATGGTCCTTAGGCAAATAGATAAATTAAAACCTAACAAATCCCCAGGCCCTGATGAACTGTATGCAAGGGTTCTAAAGGAATGTAAAGAGGAGCTTAGCACACCTTTGGCTAATCTTTTCAACATATCACTACAAACTGGCATGGTGCCAGATAAGTGGAAAATGGCAAATGTGATACCTATTTTCAAACAGGTGACAGGTCCTTAGCTTCGAACTATAGACCAATAAGCTAACCTCCATAGTGGGAAAATTTATGGAATCAATAATTGCCGAGGCAGTTCGTAGCCACCTTGAAAAGCATAAATTAATCAACGAATCTCAGCATGGTTTTACAAAGGGGCGTTCCTGCCTTACGAATTTATTAACTTTTTTCACTAAGGTATTTGAGGAGGTAGATCATGGTAATGAATATGATATTGTGTATATGGACTTCAGTAAGGCTTTTG